CCACACCCCCTCACCGTATATAAAACCTCTCCTCTCAACCCAAACCTCAGATCTTCAATTCATAACTAAATCCTCTGATCTCCTGAGCTCTGACAACCCACAAAAAGGTTACTTCTTCAAATCAAAAGATACCCAGAAAACAAGAAAAAATTCAGATTCATGATGATGATGATGATGGGAAGATTAATGTTCATCACTTTCTTGGTGATGAATTCATGTCTGGTCACATCAACAGAGGGCAGAAAGCTGTTATTGTTGCAGGGAAAAACAGAGTTTGGAGAAATCAAGAAAGTGCCTGCAGGCCAGGGTTTAATGGACAGGGTGTTCAAGAGCCTTTTTGTCAAGGGGCAGGTGCCGGCGTCGTCTCCCAGCAAGAGAGGCCACGCCGACACCGTCGACGAGAAGCTCGTCGCCCGCCACCTCGCCGCCCTCCACCGGATTCCCGGCTCCGTTCCGTCCCCCGGAACGGGGAACTGATGATCTGTTAGACTTTTTTTATTTATTTTATTTTTTTAAATTTTTAGAAAGTGAAATTTTTGATTTTTTTCCCCTTGGTTGAGGTAGTGTAGAGATTATTATGGTAGATTATATTGTGCATAGAAAAAGAAACTGGCCGGGAAGTGTATAGCTGGAGATTAATTCATTTGGTTCAACAAGATCCACATTATACTCCGCATTTTTTTATTTTTTCCATTAAATTCCCATAGTATAAAATAAACAAAAATGTTACTTTAATCTCAAAGATGTAACCAGGATTAACAAAATCATGTATAGACAGTTATTGTTTGGGAAAAATCATTAGGGGTGAAATAATGACACTAAGTGTCAAGTTTTTCTTGGCATAGACATTACTGTGACATTTTATGTGATTAAATTCATAGACAAGTGTTACATATTGTGGGTGGTCAACTGGTCATGCATCATTGAGAGCACAATTTGCAAGAGATTAATTAGAGGAAATATGGGTTTCTTCATCTTCACAATTTACTTGGTTAAATTGTTTTTTCTTTGTTTACTTAATTTCTTTTAACCATTTTTTAACAAATTATTATGTCGCGTGGATTTTTTGAAGAATTTTTAAAGCAAGTTTAAATTTATAAATTTAATACGAATATTCAAGTAAATTTAATAAAAAAATAAATTTGATGTAATAATTTTAATTAGGAGGCCAAGCGGCACAGGGCAAAATGGGTCTTTTTTCCTCTCCGAAGTGGATGACATCATACACGTGTTTGGGCGCTTTATCAAAAGCCACATTGCCCCTTTTAATCCCAACTTTGTTTCTTTTGCTTGCCCAAACAACGCCTTAATTCAGATGCTGCTTATGAATGGGGCACATTATATTGTTGCCATCATTGCATTTGGTTCTTTACGTAAGAGCTTAGCTTGAATATAATGCTTTAAAATCATTTTTGTTTGTTGATAAAGTCTCAAAATATTTTCCACATTAAATAAATTGAAGCGAAATTTTAAAGTTTTTCAATTCATATTATTTAATAATCAATGGAAACATGCAAACGAACAAAAGTTTTCGAAACACGTTGATCAAATATACGATTGAGCGTTTTGACGGATAATAACAATAACAAATCAAATAAAGTCATACGAAATTACGGTCTGAAGAGGTGGTGAAGGCAAAAGTTAAGGTTTCTCACTTTGAGAAATGAGTTAAAATATTTGACTCAAAAAAATGAAAGTGTTAAATAAAAGAGATCATAGTGAGCTTTGAAATGCAAAAGCACTTAGCTTCTTTCAATTCCTAGAATTTTGGCTTGTAAGTTAACACTTTTGCCAATACCTGCTTTTCTTAACAGTGCCAAATTGGTGTCTTTTTAATAAAAGTGATTTTAACTCTAGAAAAGCTAAAAAACACCAACAACAAAGTGTTTTAGAAATTTTGCAAAGTTTCTTCTATAAGTTTCGAAAGTCATGACAATTAAGCATGATTATAAATGAAGAGGTTATTAGACACTTGTCCAATTCTTAGAACAGTAATAATAAGTAATCCACTTGTGTAGATTTTGTTTTTCTACTAACATACATTTATTACATTAAATTGTGTACTAAACTATTTTTCTTCATTAAAAAGAAACAACAACGATTGATAATAAAAACAATGCACCAATACTCGTCATGTCAAAATATAATGCCCCCTCTGTCTCACGAAACACTTCAGTCCTAATTTTTTGTGCTCTCATAAAACACTTCTACCTTATCTAAAATGTCTAAAATACCCTAAAAATAACTTCTACATACCTGCAATAAACTACATAATGGGGTGCATTTTATACATGGCTAAAATCCACTATTGGTCCTTCAACTTTATCAGTTGTGCACGATTGGTCCTTCAAGTTTTAAAAGTCCATAAATAGTCCTTCAACTTTTTGAGTAATGCACGATTGGTCCTTCAAGTTTTAAAAGTGCATAAATAGTCCTTCAAGTACACGTCAGCCCTCCAGATGAGGTCCTTTTGACAGTAAATGTTAAAAGCTAAATGGAATACTAGCTCAATATAATACAGAGTAGTCGTACCTAGTGGAATTTACTCGTATTATATGAAATTATTATTTCGATTAACTTTTAATACGAATTTTTAAAACTCAAAAAGTTGAAGGACTATTTATGGATTTTTAAAACTTGAAGGACAAATCGTGAACAGTTAATAAAGTTGAAGGACCAATGGTGGAGTTTAGCCTTTTATACATTTTAGGTGAGAATAGAAGTGTTTAATAGGGTGTACAAAAAACTAAAATGGAAATGCTTTGTGAAAGAGACAAAGTAATTATCCATAATTCTATACTATATCAATCAGTTCTATTAAATTGAATTTTACCAATATTACCACCTCAGTATATTACCACCACATAGTTGAAAATGTTATGGTTATTTATTTCTATTTTTTTCACACTATAACTCAGATAAACTCATACGAAAATTAAAAAAAGTCAATTCTATTTCTATATATGAAATCTCTCATATCAAAAATGCGCCCCCAAAGTGTAGAGTAATATAAACAGGCTTAATTAAAGTCGTGTTTGGACATTCAATGAACCATTATTGGGGTAACAGATTTCACTATTGGTCGAGGAGAAAAATTGGGCACAAAATAGTAAAGAATCAAAATGTGTTGAAATTTCCACAACTGGGATTCTGTGATGTCAACCAAACAGAGCGCAAGGAGGCGACCAGGGATTATGCGACTATATATGCCATGTCGGATCAGTACGTACATATATATATGGGTTCGAGGAGGGAGGAGGCCGATTGATTGTAGATTTGGGCATGGTCACACGATGCTTTACTGTTACCTCGTCGACTTTGAATTCTCTTTTGGATACTATATATATATATATATATGTATATATATATATATATATATATATGGCTTTTTGACAACTACATGTTTTACTTTTGAGTAAAATTCTCACAAATTTGTTTTAGAGTACTTTAAAACGATATCATAATAATTAGTTGGATTGAACCCCAACAAAAACAATCTTTGTACATTTAGAGTGTGATTCTTGATTAGGAAAAGTATATTTATAAGAGTTTAGAGATTAATCAACCACACAAATTATTTTTTACTTTTCTAGAAGACATGTGAATGTAACTCATGATCATGGAGAATGACAAGATGTGGGGAGATTTGTGAAAGATCACATCTTGTCTCATAAAGCTAATGCCTACCTCAAGATCATTTTAATTTGGAGGAGAGTACCCATGTCATGTGCCTTATACTCGTTTGTTCTTACCAAATGTGTATGCTTAGGTGATTTGGGCCTAAATACAATATCTATCCGAAAATGTTCTTCTAATATTTTACTCCGTATTAAACAATCTAAGTTTTTATTTTGTTTCATTATTTTCATTATTAATTTTATAATATAATATAGTTACAACACATCTTGTACATTTATAATATGATAAATTAAATTAAAAATAATTTTTGTCAAGCCTTCTAATTACATGAAATAAAAAGAAAAATATGGACTTAGGGAATACAAAGTATGATGAAGTGAATCCAATATAATTATAAGAGTATTTACATCCAATAATGTAAAATTCATTCAATCCAAACCATCTTTTATCTACATCATAATATTTTCATATCATACTTCCTCCGTCCCGAAATATTTGCAACGTTTGCTTTTTCAGCGTTGCGGGAATTTTTGTTTATTTCTACGTTTTCATTGATTATTTGATAAAATAAAATATTCTTGACACCTCTTATTTCGAAGAACTTTTCATGTAGTTTTTTGATATGTAAATTTTATTTTTTATTTCTATACCAATATGCAAATAAAATGAATTGAAAAAACTTGATATTTTGCCTCGGGAATACAAGTGTGGCAAATATTTAGGGACGGATGGAGTATATCTAAGCAAACACTCACTACACATATTAATAAGGTCAGCCAGATCTTGGACATGAATTGTGTCGTAATTAAGTTACTCGTGTCAAACACACCAAATGTTCTATGTTCAGAAATAAAACTCCAATTGAAAAAAAAACTCATTGTTGAGATTATATTTAAAATTGTTACTGTATCTAAATTCTGAAATCCAAAATTTAATTATAAAATTCTAGGCTTCAAATTCTAGATAAATTTAACGAGAAAAGGAGGGAAACCTGTAAAAGCTTATGAAAAAAGTACTCTATTGTCTTACATTAATAGAGATTGCATGGTAATCATGATTAGAAATATTTTATTGACTTCAAAGTGGGTATTTAAATTCAACAGTATTCACCGGTTTGATTTTTTTGAATTTCAAATGTTCAACGTGCTTTTGTAATTTTGTTCAATCTTTTCGAAATTTACACCTATATAATGTTGGCTCTCTACTTTTGCTTTCATTCCCAATTAGTGTTATTATATACTCTCCCTTTTTAAAACCACTTCCTCTTTCATTTTTTAAATTTTAATAAAACATTTTTACCTAAATTTTGGATTTTACACTCTACATATCACATCATACTTTTTATCAAATAATATATCCATGACATCGTACTTTTACCCATATCAAGGGTAAAATTAGAAGTCAAGTATAATTTTACACTTCATTAATTTTACACTTGGTCAAAATAGAAACTCTTTTTTAGAACGGGAGTATTTGATCTAATACTCCCTCTCTCGCGTATGTCTTTTCTCATTTTAGTTTTCACCATCTCAAAAATAAATATAGATTTTTAAAAAAATGATATTTTAAAACAATGTTTCAGAATGAATCTTATATGAAATTTTTATCATAATTCCTGGTTTTAACATCGTTCGTAATAAAAATAAAAATGAGAAAAAAGATACTAAGTATAAGATAAATAAGTACTACTATTACTTTTCCGTTACTTAAAATTTTACTCGTACTATATATTCATAAAGATAAATTTTATGGTTAAAGTTTAGAACAAAAAGAAATAAAAAAATGAAACACAATCTTTTACTGAATATTAGCAGTATAGTAAAAGCCTTTTTTAAGGCTTAAACTCTTAACTTTCCGTTTCTTTCAGTTTTTTCTAGTTCCTTCTGGTTTCTTCTAATTTCTTCCAACATCCAACTCTTTTTTCAGTCCTAAAGAATATGCTCTAAATCATAAAGTAAATATAATTATAGAACTTTTTAGCCATAGGGAATAATCATATATTGCCATGTTTAGTTTTTGGTTTTTGAGATGACTTTTGGTTGTTTTAACCAATCTTTGTTGTTTGACTGGTCAAACATTTGAAGAGTGTTTGGCATTTGGTTGTTAGAGTTGACTCTTTGAGTCCGAAAAGCTAAAATATGAAAAGCTAGAAAGAGTGGCCTTTGATTTTGGTTTTTTGACAAAATTGAATATTTTTACCACTAGTATTTGTCATTGTATGTAAGTCTTTTGAATGTACTCTTTCCGTCGCTCATATATCTTTTCATTAGCCCTTTTTATTTGTTAATCATAGATCTTCTCATTACCTTTTTTAATTATTAAAATACCACAACTAATATCACTTACTTTATTTATTACATCTCACCCACCGCATTTAATACACTCCACCCATTTTCATTAAGAATATTAAGGTAAACTTTCACCTTTTTTCAATTCCCTTAAAAACCACAAAAAGTCAAAACGATAAGATCTTAGGGGGACGAAGGAAATATAAAAAAATATTTATTGCATAAATAAATAAGTACTCCTTCCCCAAGTAAAATTCATGAAGGGATTTACAAGAATAAAAAAAATTCTTGTGTTCTTTTTACTTTAGATTTTAGAATTGGTGTAGGAAGAAAAAAAATCATTTATATATGGAGAATTTACAAAGTGCATCAAAAGTCTTCAATAAAAAATAGAGTAATTTACCTAAATAGGACTAAAAGATAATGACTTTTTCAATATAAGACTATATAATACGGAGTAATACATAGTATGATTATACTCCATTATTTTATCAAATGCTCGATAAAATGCATGCATAAATAAATACTCCATCCGTTCTATAAAAGTGTTCCTATTTTGACTTTGTGTAAAAATAAGGAAGTGTAAAATTGTACTCTCTCTGTCAACCATAGATCTTCCCAGACACTATTCACAGGGTCAAACTTTACTCACTTTGTTTGCTCAATTTTACTAGTCATTTCATAAAATAATATAGTTTTGCCACTTCTAGTTTTGTAAAACTTTTCATGTAGTTTATTACTATATAAATTTTATTTAAAAATTTTACTTCTATAATCAATTAAATTGAATTGATAATAAAGTCGGTCAAGCCTCGTAACGCATAATGGGAAGATCATACATGGACGGAGGAAGTAGTTGACTTCCAATTTTGCCCTTGATGTGATGGGTAAAAGTAAGATATGATGGATTGAGTATTAAAGAAAATG